CGGGTCCCCGGGTCTCGGGTCTGAAGCCCCTCTCCACCCGTGCCCCTGCCCTTTGGCAGCTCCAGGCCACAGCCTGGCCCGCACCGCTGCCCTTGCAGCTGCTGGGGGCTGGAAGTGGAGACCTGGGGCTGTAGTGCCGGGGAGGGCGGGTCCCCGGGTCTCGGGTCTGAAGCCCCTCTCTCCTGGCTGTTCCCCCCCTCCCGCGTCCGGAACCCCAGGGCCCCTCCCCTCGCCCTTCTGGCGAGCCCGGTTGGCAACCCCCACACCGGCCACACTCTCCATCTCCGGTGCTCCCACCACGCCTCCTCCAAGAGGGCCACGGGTCTCTCCAGGCCTTGCCATTTGCCCACCCCCTCTCCACCCTTCTGGCCAGCCCCCTCCAGCCTCTGGCAAGGCCCGCTCTACAGGGACCCCCGTCCAGGGCCCAGTCCTCACTTCTCTCCTTGGGTGGCGCTGGCCAGGGGGGCTGCTGGGACCTTTCGGGGTAGGGCGGCAGCCTCCCTCCCCTGTCCCCAGGCCTCTCCCTCCTCCCGTGGTTTCCTCTGCCTGGTGGCTGGATTCAGGCCACTTGATCTCTTTCTCAGGCCACTTCTCAATGTGTTTAGCTGCCCGTGTGCCCCCACCCCCAAGCCTGGCTTGTTCCCACACCCAACAGCACCCTAAGTGCAAGAGGCAGGGGTGTCGGGGGACCCCGAGAAGCGGGGCCATGGGTCCTGGCTGCTGCTGGGGGCAGAGGGCCCAGGCCTGCAGGTGAGGACAGGGCTGCGGGAGGGCACTGGGGTTGATGGAAACTCAGGAGGAGGAGAGGGCGCTGTGCCCCTCCGAGGGCCTGAGCCGGGTAGGGCTGATGGGTAGGTTTGAGTGGAAATGACTCCAGGGGGTCTATCCAGCATGAAGGCATTGAAGCAGGATGGAGTGAGAAGTGGGACAGAGTGGGCAGGGAAGGTGGTGGCAGCTGTCCCCACTGTTGTCCAGGCCTGCGTGGGGTGGAGAAGCTCCAGGCTGCCAGTGGTAGGGTCCCAGGAGGCTGGTGACCAGACAGGCCTTTGCACAGCAGCAGGTGCCCTTGGCCAGGCCCAAGGAGCAGACCGCAGGGGAGAAGGGACAGGAATGGAGCTGGAGAAGGGGGGTCCTGGGGCCGGGGGTCCTCAGGCTTCCTTTTATTTTCATGCAATGCTGCGTTTTTCGGCGGTCACATGGTGCAGCGTGCTTAGGGATATGTGGCTGCTGGAAATTGGGTTCAAAGTTGTGGGTGGCTGATGTGGAGAGAAGAGTGATGGGAGGCCGCGCTGCGTGTCGGGGGTGGGTGCTGCTCAGATCGCTGGGGCTCCTGGAGGGCGGGAGTCGAGCTGGGAGCTGAGGTCCTTCCTCAGGGAGGGGCAGGGATAGGGTCTCAATGGAGCACCGCTCCACTCCTTCCATCCTTTCGCCACTCCTTCCAAGCCTGCTTCTCTGATAATCTGCTAATGGGATCCTCTGGAAGGCATGCTAAGTATGGGGGTTCTTTGAGATGCCTGGGGAGCCAGTGGGGACCTCCTCTTCCTCCTTCCCACCTGCCGTTGAACACAAATGCCAGGGTGGCTTCCCCTCCTGAGATCAGTGGTCTGCACGGGATTGAGGCTGCCAGATAAATACAGGCCCAGTTAAATCTGAAGTTCCGATGTTTATCTGAACAACTAATAAATTGTCATTATTTATTTATTTATTTGAGACGGAGTCTCGCTCCGTGGCCAGGCTGGAGTGCAGTGGCGCAATCTCAGCTCACTGCAACCTTTGCCTCCCGGGTTCAAGCGATCCTCCTGCCTCAGCCTCCTGAGTAGCTGGGACTACAGGCACGCACCACCACACCCAGCTAATTTTTGTATTTTTAGTAGAGACAGGGTTTCACCATGTTGGCCAGGATGGCCTTGATCTCCTGACCTCATGATCCGCCTGCTCCGGCCTCCCAAAGTGCTGGGATTATAGGCGTGAGCCACCGCGCCCGGCCCTTATTTTATTTTATTTTATTTTATTTTTTTATTTTTTATTTTTTGAGACAGAGTCACTGTGTTGCCCAGGCTGGAGTGCAATGGCACAGTCTCGGCTCACTGCAGCCTCCACAT